TCGAATTGAAAGCTCGGTCTTAATGAACCAGCCCAGCTGAATCGCACCACAATGCAAATCTTGACTTGACGCCCGATACCAGGGAACGCTTCGACCAAGGACACGCGGCGCCTGCATGTCCTCGATCAACGTCCCCGAGGCTGTACTCTGGAAGCACTCTGGGCTCCTGGAGAAAATGGACTCTCACTGCGTATACGAAGTGACGAAGTACGTACGGACACAAGCTCAATGCACACGGAGCCTACCGTCGATGGCAGTCACGGAGTGAACCGGGGCACCGATTGAATAGCCTGAAGGGCAACGACCCCAGACCAGCCATCTCGAGAACCCCAGAGCGTCGCCACTGAACTTCAAACCACCACCGCCAGACGCCAGTGCTTCATCGCCCCTCACGGACTGCACGTCACCAAGACCCGCGACTCATATTGAGTATCTCCACATTTCCACCGAGAGCACGGAGACCATGGGTGGAAACATACCTCCTAATCCTATCAGACTTCGGGGGCAGCAATGCTTACCCCAGTGTCAGAACTCAGAATCCTCCCAAGTATGAAGAATGAGGCTCTTTGCTGCTGTTGGTATCTCAACTTGAAGCCCATCAAGGTCTCCCTGCCCGTCTCATACCTCATCAAGGGGCTTCATTGGCCATTATCATGGTGTGACGCCGTTGGAGATGCAAGGCAAAGGGGCCGGACCTTGGGTGCTTGGATAGCTGGAATCCCATGCCTCGGCACATTCAGACCCAGATCCCAGGGGCCTGTGGGTTCGGACGTCCTGACAACTGGGGACTGTGGGAGAACTGGAGAATGGAAGAAGGCTGTGCAGCGCAATGTAATGGAGCTCGATGGAGTCGCTCCGATGGGCGACAAGGCGATGGCTTCCGTATTGGAGAGACCCCCGAGTTCCGTCACCCAATAGGCCGTCCAGGACCAGAACGGCATGAAACATTGCCAGGCTTGCCAACCCACGCAGCCATCCCCGAAAGCCCAAGCTTTCGTCTACGGGATACGCAGTGCAGCGGTACTGCACTGCACATGTAGCGTACGATTCGACCACCCAAAGGCTCCAGTCCATCTCCTATGATCTAGGTATCCGTACCCTCCCATGGCACCTGTCTTGAATCAGTACCCGGACACCCGCGGGGGAGGCAGGCACACCCATTCACTCAACTGGCAACACAACGGAGCTTGGCTATGCCCTACCCCCTAAGTCTACAACTGCCGAAGTCTCTTAATTGGCGCTTAGGCGCATGACTTCCCAACGACTCAACGAAGGGGACCACGATGTACGAAAGGCATGAGCTACGCACACGCTTGATTGAGAACGAATACGCACGCTGAGATCGCCAATTGTAGTTTCACACCGCGAGCTAGGAACGCCCTGGATAGACTAGGGTATCCCTCCACGACACTTCAGAAAGCCATAGAACGTTGCGCCACAGCTTGTCAGCCACGGGGCGTGAGCGCAGCTGATAGACAGCCTCTCCATAAGGCTCGACGCCCGCCACACCCCAATGTCATGGCGTTCGATTCACGTTCGAGCCGAGTCACTAGGCCTTCGATCAGCCGAGTCAGGACAATTGGATGGCTTTGCTGCCCAAAGCTCCCAGAGAACATTGGGATGCTACGCACGCACACCGACCAAGCCTCACCTCGGTGAGAATGAAGCTCATCTCTACCTTTCTGCTTTCTTCCACGCATCCTCACCCACATTCACCCTGTCTTTGGATAATGTACGCTTGCTGCGCCCACTTGGCGTTTCCATGGTACTGAGCCCCCAACGGTCCATTACCAATATGCGGATGAGAGTCAACGTCTATCCGGCACGCCATAAACTTCAAGTCTCCCACGCCCAGCTAAGACTACAAGACATGCGACGGGAATCAACAATACCAATGTCCGTAGGGCATCAGACCCCCCGTCGATCTTAGTTACTCGCCGAACAAGATCTTCCATTCTAGCGGCCAAGCTCAGATTGCTCAAGAGCACGTGCAGTGTCTACACCCTCTTCACCTTGAAGCGATCCAATGATGGAGAGGCGGGACTTCAGACGGACGATGCTACGGATGCTAAGCAAAGAGAAGGCGGCACCAGTGCTGTTTTTAGCAGCAGCCCAGTTCTTGGAGCGGTGCAACGCTGCAAGTGGCAGGTTGGAGATGCCATAACAATGTGGACATGAGAAACACCTTGTGATGTGGTGCTGTCTCGAATCGCAGTCTACGGATACGGATACATGGAATAGCGCGGGTACCCTAGCGCAACGATCGCCCCCACTGCTATAGACAGTAAGCAGGCTGCAGGACGCTAGGTATTCCTCAGGAACAATTTCAAATCTGCCTGTCGAACTGTGTTTCTCCTAACCTCAAATAGCGACAGAAGCCAATCAACAATTCCTGTCTCTGGAGATATTGGAGAAGCACTATTCAATTGCGGGGGAGAAAGACAACAGGCACGCTGGTTAGGTAACCACGCAGGCTTCGTTCTCGGCCGTATTGTTCGCATCACGCCTCTCACTAGGCGCCATAATGCACGACGAAGTGAGTCCATGCCATCAATGACCACAGCGATCTCCAAGTCAAGCTACGAAGCCAAGACCACCATTCACCATTTCAGCTAGTATGGGATTGGGTGCTGGTGAGGTTTGCCACCTTTCTTGGCTCCGTGTCGAAGACGAAGTATTGCCTGCAAGATTTGTCCATCCTGTGGTCAATACACCGCTGGGGGCCAGGGTGCAGGTGGCTAGCTGTCATGGCCACAGTGATTCGATCAAAGACAGGGCTGCATGCCAAAGACAAGTTTTCTTCAACGGCGGTTACGTTCAAAATTCAAGGGCAGATGACGACTGTGGCGCAGATTGCAAAGTGAAGGTTGGGCTTCAACATTGTTGGTTCATGACTGCTGAATTCAGAGCGAGTTCTTTGGTGGTTTCAGCAGCCATGTCAAGGGTTCAATTCTTTGGCTGAGTTGCACTGCTTTCAACTTCCTACCATGAACCTGGTTTTCAACTCACCTGCACTTGAATGTGAGAGTCGAACATCGCGGCATAGCACAGGCAATCAATGGAGGCCAGTGTTTCCCTGCGATGCATAGCTGCTCATCAATGGTTGCAGGTCTAGAGATGTGCGGACGCCTTGTTGACCTCCGGGCTGGTCCGCCCGCATGACGGCTTGGGGTCGCTGGAAGCCGGCACGCCCGCATCAGATTGGAGAGCAACCCATACAACATCTCGGAAGGTGGGCGGGGACGCGGAGGAGGAGCTTGAAGTAACATCACCACCTTCCTGGAGAAGTTACAAATTCTCTGGACAACAACCTGCCCTCGCACCGTTTGGGAAGTGTTCCCGTCAAGCCATGCCAGCCTCGTCATTCTCCTTTGACTGGCTGTCGTCACAGCGAGCAGAGTCATCCAGAACAGAAAGGGACAGTTCCGTGGGGCGGTGCTAAAGCTTAATATCTTGCCTGTCAGGATGGCCGTGGTTTGCGCTCCATGGTCCCTGCTTTGAAGGTGTAAGAGAAGGCAATGCGAGAGCACTACTAAGAGGCATTGGAAGTTCGTCAAGGACTTTCAAGCCTTTTCTTGCCGTTTGGCCTGCCGCTGTCGTTCTGACAAACACCACCAACTTGGATGGACGCGGCAGCCCTGCGATCTCGATGTCTTGGGTCCCTGGTTTGCGATCCCTATCCATTCTGCGAGAGGTTCGCTCAATGTCTAATCACCCACCAGAGCTGCCAGGCACTTCCAATCAACTCATGTCATCAGCGCCTCTGTATACTACATCTGTAGGCACACAGTATGTCAGTATCGGCCGCCACAGCAAGCCTCGCGACATCTAATTGAAGCCCTGTGAGTAAAGGGAGATTGCCGTCGGCAATAGCTGAGACGAAAGATAATGCGAACCGACTCGCCACAGCCTCAGCCCACCGAGGCATCATTGTGAGCCAGGTTCAGTCTCACTCTTTGTCCTATTCCAATGCCGAATTATATCACGATGTGTGAGACTCACGCAACGTCACACTGTTGTAGCAGGAAAACGCGCACACATTTGCATGCGTGATCAGCTATACTCGACTTGACCTAAGCCGCTTATCGGAATCGTGAATTGCGCCGGTTGGCTGTCGAATCCAAGACATTCGCGCCCTGCGGCATCCGGGCGCTATGGTCTCATTCTGGGACCGAAGACCTGCAAGCAGCCGCGAGTACAGATACAGGGCTGAACAGACGGTGACTAGATATGGCCGAGTATGGATGTGGCGTTGCCCTTCCAGGCGACATGCATACACATGCTGACACGAGACACTGCGACGGCAACACATTGTGGACTGTGCCGGCCGGCAAGGCTCGACGTAGAGTACCCTCAAAGTGGCGCGCTGAGAAGGATGAAGGCGCACCGTTGCTTGTGTCCATGTCTCAGGCGCCTCAACACTAACGGTCTAGGTAGGTATTTCTTTCATTCTCTTTGTACGTGCCATTTTCTGATGAATTTTGCGCCGCTGCCCAGCAGAGTTGCAGGCATGCACGTACAGTAGGCCGGCTTGTCACGACATCTCGTTGGCCTGCACGGTCTGTAAGACAACCGGGCGAGCAATGAGCGGGGCCACGCCCGTTCTGTCGGTAACTTCAACTTCCTTCGCGAATTACCTCCCCTCCACCATGGCCTCTTCTGCTGCCTATGGTGGTCATATGACTCAAAGGCGGACAAAAGGTAGTTGCCAGGATCAGAAGCTGTCATCTTCGAAGCATCCTTCGGTCGCCAGGATATTTTCGGGCAAACAGCTGGCGGTGAAGAACTGCAGCCTTGGCCGCGAGGACACCAACGTACCAAGATGGTCTGCAAGCTCGAGGCAAGGTGCATTCGCGAATGCTGCGATTCATGTTGCGCCTTGAAGCCGAACTAATGCGAGTCGTCATGACTTGAGGCCAAGGTCTTGCAGATCTGAGGCACGGGAGAACATGCTCCAGTTGTCGATACCTACGTCAATACCTATCTCTTGCGGCGCATGCAGACGCCCATCGCTCGCCCCCCTTCTCCTGACTCACACTTGATCCAGTCGCAAGTTCAAGATCCCAGCCACCATTCGCTCACTTGGCCATATTATGCTACAAAGTCAGACACAGCAGCACGAGAATCGTGAGAGGATGTCTGCATCACTTAGGCCCGTCTCCCTTGAGATGCGGCCGCTAAGGCCTGACGGCAGACACATCTCCCCGTTCCATACCCCTCTCACCCGCCACCCAGCAGGAACTGTGCCGTTTGCTTGCAGTATCGATCACGGTACAATGGCCGTGTACAAAAGATCCTTCGATCGTCTTGGTGCGTATCTGGACCAACGAAAAGATGGCAATCTCAGTCCTTCCGCCGCCCAGCATTGTGGGAAGCCTTTATTAGTGGCCAGTATCCGTAACCAACGAACAGGCGGCTCGACAACATCGACTGCAGCTCCGGAACTCAATGGTATGGCCATGGCGTTGAACGGTTTCCGAATCTGTCAGAACTCACATTTGTTTGCTATTTCCGTGCCAGCCAGCCGCGAACTCCTACTCTGCACTTCATGCGCATCAGAGTAAGGCCCTTATAGCAGATGAATCTGCAGCTTACTTTTGGGGTCGAAATTCCACCGGACTTGTTGCCTCCACCATCAATGCCACAAGCTACGACAGAGGTGCCTCGCTCATGGCAGCCTTGCATCCAAGATCTTCTCGACTGGTTCGCTCGCTCCAAAGGCCCTCAGTCATTGAGGTCCTCCCTACATTACCTGCCACACATGCGACTCGGCTTGCCACGCCTCGTGCGGTAGGCTCCTTCGTCACCCTGGAAAGGCTTACATCACACGGGGGCTATAGCGGGGTGTCGAATTCGTACCCTAGCAAACTACATACTCGCTGTATGACCTAAAGGCGAATTGATGTTCTCGGGCGAGGCATCGAGGAAGTGGTGTGTCGGCCGCCTGGTTGTTCGCAGCTTCGCTTGGGTGTTCAACTCTCCCATACGGATGGATACCTACAGAGGCATATCTGACATGGCAGAGCTGCTCAGGCCCACAAAAGAGCCTCCGGAACATGAGACAATGCCAAGGTCCGTACGGAGGCGAAGCTCATCTTGTTGCCGGTCAGTCTTCCGAATCAGTCGGTCGTCCGCCGGGCGAAGTGGGGCCTGTACCGAGGTGTCGGTTTTGGCGGGCACGGGGGAGCGGTTGCTCGGGACGCCAGACTTGCACGCGGAGGGGTGCCAGTTGGTTCCGACAGGGCTGAGAGTTTGGTCGATTTGAACCATTCAGGGTTGATAGTCTCTACTTGAAGCTGATCTGCTGCCTTTCGGACCCATCCTATCAGCATCGCCACCCCCGTGGCCTGCCTCAATCATTTCCGGCCAACGACGAACGACAGCAGCTCAGCAATAGATATCTGTTTGAGAATGCGGTGTCACTTGTTCACTCAAAGTCCGACATCAAGCCCACTTTGCCAGTCATGGACTCGCAATAGCCTACACAGCAAGTACGGGATAATCTGGACTGTAGTTCCCACGTCACTACGAAAGGGTCTGACTTTCATATCGAAAAGTCTCGTGTTTTCAGGACAGGCATCGGCGCGTTGAATGTTGATACGGCTAGCTCAAGGACGTCTTTGCAAGCATAATCAATAGTTCCGGGGCCCTGCTGCATCTAGATCTGCGGCTGAAGCCCGAGTCCTGACTACTGCGTGTGAGTCGCATCGTGGTGCGCAAATTCGCGGGTTGTCAACGTCGAAAACGACGAAAAATTGCATGGCTCCTTCATCGGGACACGGAGCGAGAACGGAGAAAGTGCCCCATTTGGCAAGCGCATGGAAGCGGTCTAGAAGAATCCCCGAAGTTTGCGTGGCCTACCCGCCTGGCTGCCTGTCATCAGCTCATGTCGGTCAGCATTTAGTTACTGACATTTTCAGCTCTAGACGCTTAATTTGCGTGAAGTTGAACAACATCGCTTGCAAGTTGCGCTAGACGTCGTGCCACCATCGCATAACACACATTGTGGGTATACGAATACAGAGACCCAAAATGACTAGCCATATATGAAGTCTACGACGTTGCATGACAGGGTCACGCAGTTTGACTCGTTGTCGAGGAGCCTTATTGGGTACGACAGGCGCGTCGACGGTGGTCCTCAGTAGGAGACTTTTGGTTGGATCGACGGCGATGATCTGCCGCCCTGGCTCCAAAGGGCCCCGCGGTAGCACCTGGTGAGGGGCACGACTAGCACAAGAACTGAACAGGGCTCTGCCTTGGGTTCTGAAGTGTGTAATTGCGCCGAACAGGCCGTGGTGGCGTCTTGAAAACCCAGATTTCATCTTGGCTGCGGCTGCCTCTACAGTATACACCATTATTTTCAGCCGCTTAGGGATGATGTAGATGGGCCAGCTGGGCTGGCTAATGCCCCGTTGGCCACCATTGGGGTGTCTCCGGTCAACCGAGATCATCAGAGTGTCACTCTTGTGGTCAAGGTAGTGCACACCAAACGACGATCGAGAGGCATGGCGGCATGGAAGCATGGCAGAGGGGGACCAGTCGTCACGGAGTATCGGTCTTTGTTCCACGCCAACCCAACCCACCCCTGAGATCCCCCATTCAAACGAGCTGCGCCCAGCGATCAGCCATGCCGGAGCAGTAACACCCGGGATGGAACCTCCCATCGGCGCGAGTGCAACGACGCAGGCAAGGAGAGATCAACTTGCGACGCGCATGTTTCCTGGACCTGTCCGGACACTTTGTTGTCAACGGCCGGGAAGTTGTCCTACTGCTTCATTGTCCAGCCGTCGCTTTCCCGGCTGGCTTTCGGTGCTTACGCGGTCAACGGAGGTAACGGTAGAGTGGCGGCGGAGACACACCCACGGAGCATTGGCAACTTGCAAAAGTAGGAGCCCCTGTGCCCCTCTCGGGGGGCAAGTCTACGGAGTACAAGCCGCCCATGATGAAGCAAGTTTCTATCAGCAGCAAGATTTCAGTAGTCATCCTCATCCAACAAGGACGATTCCTGACTGAGGAGAGTTTAGCCTTACGGTCCCCCTTGCAGGCACCACGCTCACGGCATTGGGTTCGCAATGGCGTCGCACCAGGTGGGAAACGGCTCGTCGATGGCCTCCCAGACGGACGAGCGCATCCCATCCGCCCCTGGGCCTCCGTGTGCGTCCCATGGGTTACGCGTGCTCCTCGCCGGGCCACAGCCAATAGCCGGCGGTGCCCCGGCCGGAGGAATTGCTGTCTTGGAGTCCCGTCCCCGGCGTCTCGACTGCCGGAAGCCCTAACCATCATCTCCCTCGTCTATCCTTGCAGCCCCCATCCTTGGACGACCTCTCTTGCGGATAGACTGTTAGCTGTTAAGCTGTTCCCTTCCTGCTGGGTACTAAAAATCCCGCGACGCCCCCGTTTTAGGGAGATTGGCATCAAGGCCCTGCCCCCCCCCCCCCGTGGCCCCCTCTCTGCCCCCGACCGGCCGGCCCTGTTTGTGGATACCTCTACTCTGAATTCGACATTGGATCACCGGCACGAGTGTGGCAGTGCAAGAAGCAATGTCCAGGAGGTTGCGAGCGCTCTCGACGAGTCATATCCAGCCTTTTTGTGAACCTCTTACCTAGCACTGCGAGGGTTGCCTTTATGATGTATCGCTATTTGATAACCTTAGTCCTTTTCGCTTTCTTGCTGATGCGCGCGTTCTCTCACCTATCTGGACAACCACCCGGTCGAGGGAAAGCTTTGAATGCACCTAGCTGCGGCGGGGTTTCATGTGCTTATTTTTGAGTTCAATTCCCGGCAGAACCTCCCCTCTGGTACCTGGAACAACATTCCTTAAGAACTTGGGACGGGCAATGACGAAGCTGTAAAATGAGCGTTTGAAAGGCCGCGATAGCAACTCATTTCCCTGCCCGAATCTATACCCCAATTCGGCAAGGCGACGATGTCACTGACCTGAAGCGATTGATCGCTCGCAAGCTCTCCAAGAAGCAAGGGTGGTGGTCGGCGACTAACCATGACTCCTGGCCTGGGTTTATGGACTTGGTCCCCTCTCTCGCAGCTTGCGCTAAATCGCAAGAAAAGAAAACTCCCCTTTTCCCACCCCCTCTCCCTTTTGACGCCCCCCTTTCTTTCTCTGCCCGGCTCTTCCCAGCCAGTCCCTGTCATGCCGAGGTCGAGGACGGGGATGCCCTCTTGTTCGGGAAAGGCTTCAACCTTCTGGCAGCGTCAACGACACGACGTGTTGATCAATGATCCCGCACTTTCCGCCCTACCGGCCACAGGCACGCCGCACGCCGCACAGCTAGGTAACTTCCTCTCCTCTGCCTGGGACACGACGCCAGGGGTCCGTCTGCCGCTAGGGCAGTGCGCTAACCCTTCAGTTGGGAATGTCACACGTTTCGCCTGTAGGGCCGCGCAGGGCGGAAGGCCTACGCTTTTTGGCAAAGCACAAACCTTCAGGTCTCCCGAGCGTGTCAATGTCTCCACATGACGAAGAGAGGCAGCAGGTCAAGATTCGGCTGAACGGGGGGGAAACGACCAATGTCCACCTGTACCACCCGTTCTCGGTTTTTGTCACTTGTGGGCGTTGCTTCCTTAACCTGTAGTGGCTGTACGAGATTTGCTAGACGTCTTCTGGAAGAACACGAGAAGGTCGTATAGGCAAACTAGTCTCGGACTCCAAGGGGGGGGGGGGGGGGTGGCACGGGTCGGCCACTAAAGCCTGAAGTCTGGAGAACAAGAATGCCAAAGACGAGGCAATATCCGTGGTTCAGCTGGCTTGACGGGCCTCGCCCCCAGGAGTAGAAGACAGGCCCATTCCAGACGGAGTCTTTAGGGCCAAACAATTACTGCTGACCATTGACGACTGGCATCCAGCAGGCATTCTCTGACCAGTGCCGGCACGACAGCAGCAGCGTTACGCGCGGGGTTCTTCCCATCATTGCATTCTCTGATGCAACATCAAAGCTTTCATGGATGATGGGGACACAATCACATCGCGAACTATTCTCCATGCGTAGTGTATCGTCCGCTGTCAAATCTGCTTTTCCTGCACTGTTATACTACCTACTCCAACGTCAAGGGCCGCCATGTTGGGTATGTCAGCGACCTGCGCCGGAGACCTGAACCCTGCGGAAGTGTGTATATCAGATTCTGACCAAGACTGATTGATTCTGCCCAGTGCCATCTGGGGGTGTAAGTATGGTTCAGTTCGGTCCAGAGAGAAAGATACGGATAGGATGCTCTGGGGGCCGGGGAGGGGGCCAAGAGGTAATCAATCGGCGAAATCTTGACTTGACCCCTTGGCCCTTGGAGTACGGATACGGAACGGATACGGAACGGATACGGAACGGATAGGATAGGGAGAGAAAGGGCTGCTGCCGCGCCATTTTCTTTTCCTTCCCCTCGCCGTCGCCTTGGCCCTGGGCCCTGTCCTGTCCTGTCCTGTCCCGGCCGGGTGCCTACGGGCTTGCTCCATCGAAAAACCCGTTCCCACGTCGGGGATACATAGGGATGGATCATCCAAAGGGTCTTGCACTCTTTTTGAGTTTGCGCCCTGTGGACATTGCAGTTTGGGGGCCAAGTTCAACGGGGTTACGGGCAGGGCAGGGCAGGGCAAGGCAAGGCAGGACAAGGCAGGACAAGGCAAGGCAGGGCCGCAGGGTTCGTCCGGGACATGGGCAAGGGGAGACGGAACTGAAGGACTGAACTTCTGCAGGCCTGACGGTGATTATTAGTGATTACGGAGCGTACGAATACCTACACGCTCCCATGCCATGCCATGCCATGCCATGCGATGGCCCATGGTAATGGACAACGACAACGAGTACGAACCGCCTTAGCGTGGTGAGCGAGGACAAGGCGAGGGGTGTCCCGTTGCGCAACGCGGTAACGGCAATACATGTACTGACCTGCAACCTGCGTATCCGTAGGGCGATTATCCCGTATGCTGGTGATGAGGATGAAACGCCTTTTACGGACAAGCTTCCTTTCTCTATCCTGGGCCCGGTCTTGTTTAGAACTTGAGAGATGCTTGCGCTACACGCAGCGATCAGCGGTGCGACAGGCTTATTGTGCAGTGTTAGTACCGTCAAATCCTCAATCCTCTCTTACGGATACTTCGAGCAAGATTTGAGAAGCAAGCATGCTCGGCCCTTTTCGTAGGATGACTGGAGCTAGACGTCTCCACATTCTTCAGCGTCCGTCTCTTTGACGATTACGGAGTATGCTTCTCCGCGAATTTGCATCTCCGGAGCCACGGGAGCCACGGCCCACGGGGATGACGGGGATCGAAGGAGTGGTAATTACATTCGCTGACCTCAGTGTAGGATGTGTAATGAGGATTTTGGAAATGGACAAACTGCGAAGACGACTCAAGTTCCTAATCCCCAACGTCACATCACGGGGACCCGATAAGTACTGTGCATTACGTGTACGGGTCGTACTGCTGACTGTTACGGAGTACCTTTACTGCATTTCCTCAAGGGGGGATGTTCCTTGCGGGAGATGCCGCCCGGCGACGGCGTATAATATGGCAAAAAAAAAAAAAAAAAAAAAAAAAAAGCGCGAGTAGTGTCATTGCCAAAGTGCGGTGTGAGAGGGTTTCCAACGTAAGCAAGGCAAGACAGACCACCGCGCCGAGGCTCGATTCGAAGAGGCAGGCCGCAAGTATCCCGTAGAAGACAAAAAGACGCGCTAAGGTGGTCTAAAACCACCCAGCCCTGCCGCCGGGCCTTGGGGGGGAGATTCAGATCGGACATGGTGTGGTACTTACTATCCGTCTCATCAACCATTCGCACGGCACGTTTTGGAAAGCTTTGAAGCTTTTGGGACTAATACCACGATGACTGCGACACGGACCAGAACTCTTTTTCCGGCGATGGCCCCCACGGTTGTGCGATGAAGCCCCCGATTGAGGTTTGGTGCTTGTTCATTAGGAGGGGAGGTCGATCTTTGTTCGTCTCTGGTTTAGTATCAGTCCCCCGGCTCGTTTTGATAACGGCCACATGGCATGCTGGATAATCGGAAAGCATTAGCTTTTGCCAGATCTCCGGCGATGTTGACTGATGATTCTGTTTTATTAGTAAATGGTATCAAGAGGTTGGCCTCTATCGCGAAATGCTTATAGTAGCTGATACGCGGTGTTTAATGAGACGTCGATCTACTCTCTAGTCTCTGGTGACCACGATGTAGACTTCGCATCTGACACCGAATAGAGGCATTCTCTTGCACCATCATTCTCCTAAGATGATACGAAATCTTCTTCATTGGAGATATGGAATCTTCTTTGCTTGGGTTGCGTTACATGCCCGTTATGCCCGTTTACTGGGCACGAAGGTCCATGTTGCCTGGGCGTGCAGGTTCTTGATGCATGTTGTCTTCACCGGTGCAAAGCATCCGACCTAGCAACGTCAGATTTCAACGTCTATCCAGACAGGCTTTACTCCTCATCCCCCTCAAAGGCTAGGTTCAGGCATAGCCTCTTCAAATTGAGATGTCAGGCCCCTGGTTCTCTGGTCTGTTTCTGCTTCAGCTCCGTTTAGCCCGTGAAGAAGGGCCGTCTGTCGTCGATCTACTATACAAACATGCAATATTACAAGCCCCCCTGGCCGCGGACGATGGCGAAAATAACCGCAAAAATCATACCGTACTCGACCATCTTGAATATTGTTGAAGTCCGGATATGACCTTTAGGAGACTACTGGGGCTACGTTATGCCGAAGCCTGCCTTTCACGGGCCCTGCATCGACGGAGCCTCGCTCCGGTTGCTGCTCAATTGAGTACTCCGTACAAATACATAGATTTGCCAGGTTCGGAGCGAACTCCGTACGATGTGGACGACGTAATTCGGCAGCGGGGCTTCTGAAGTTCTGACCTCTTTCCAGTATCCGTTCTTCTTCCCCTCCCTTCCCCCTTTGCAATCTTGTCTTCTTCTCATCCCTATCTCCCATGTGCAATGAGTGGATTCACGTTTGTGGATAATGGATCAAGAGCTTGTGTCGTCATTGCGATCGGCTCGGGACTTGAGTGTAAATCTCTGCCCAAAAAGGGGATCTCAATACCGGGGGCATATGCTGCGCCTACTCTGTCTGCATTGGGTCCCTTCCCCCAGGGGGGGAGAGATTAGCAGAAGAGGAGTCGAATCTGGTGACGTTCCAATATTTCTGTTCGGCATTAACCGAACATTCAGGGAAGGTGGTAGAGAAAGACTCAGGTATCCGTTCGGATACTCTCAGGGCAGGGAG